AAGTTTCTAAAAATCACAGCCAATAGCCTTCTTCAGAAGTTGTAACCAGAATGTGGTTTCTCCTACCTCCTCCCAAGTCCATTCTCTTCATTCTGGCTACCTGCCTGCCCCATAAAAACTACATTTCCCTGCTTCCCTTGCAGCTAGGTGTGGACATGTGACTTTGTTCTCATTTTTGAAATGTGAGAGTACTTGTTTGTTAACTTCTCCTTCACTGTTTTTGACTATCATTAACCTTTTCTAAAAATCACTTTCAGGCATGACCCCAGACACACCACTTCAACTATGGAAATGCAGATAAAACCTTAGAGGATGGCAGAGTAACCAGCTAGAGGAAAGCAGTCTTTTTATGACTTGGTGGAGCAGAAACATCTATCACCAAGAATGATAAGATGTTTAGATGAGAAAGAAATAAACTTCCATTCTATGACTGCATATTTGAAATCCTTTGTTACTACTCAGACTATATCTACAACTCTACCCTTCCCTGATTTCTTATTCTATCCAGCACTTAGTATCTAAACTACAGAATGCTTTTCTTCTTTCATTTGTATCTGTCTTCCTTAATTAAAATATAAATTCCTGACAGGCTTAGATTTTTGAGTTTGTTTATTGTTGCGTTCCCAGCACCTAGAAAAATATCTAGTTCATAGTAGGTGTTTAATTAATATATGCAATAAAATAATATTGGCTGCTCAAAGTGAAATTCTACTATATGATAGGAAGAAAGAGCTTTATTAAGTTTTGAAAACCAACCTATAGCAAGCGGCAAGGCAGGGTGATAATGGAGTAAAAACAACAGAGAACTTCATGCATCTGAGGTGGAGAGGAGGAAGAGATAGAGGATAAGTTTTCTAACCATTCTATAGCCTTCCTGCCCTTCTGTGTTTGGGAGGAGGACTCTGAGCCTTTATTTAGCACTTTTCTAGTGGTATTGGTCTGGTAGTTGACTCTAATGGTTAGGAAGAGATAAAGTATATTCCCTTCACCCAGTAAGAAGTAAGCTATGATCTCTCCAGTACGCCCTACTTTCACTCCCCTTCTTTTCTTGAGAAAAACATATATCCAAATCAGATATCTCATTTTGTAGGCTCCTTGAGGTAACCAGGAATCACAAAAGTAGCTGTGAAATGGTGGAAAGCTTATAAGGATGGAGTTGAACTGTGATAGATTTGAATCTGAGGACCTAATGGCTGGGTGGTTGACTTCCTTTGCTTTCACCATCTTTACTTGGAAGATGAGTACAACACAGGTTGCTTGTTTTTGTTATTGAAGATGAATACAACACAGATTTTTTTTTTTTTTGTTGGGTCGAACTACATCCTTTCCTCTGAATTCATAGGATGAAGCCCCAACTCCTGGTACCTTAGAATGTGACTATATTTTCCATAGAGGCTCTCAACTAAGATCATTAGAGTTGTCCCTAAGTTAACCTAACTGGTATCCTTGTTTTTTTTTTTTTAAAAAGTGGAGAGTAAGACACAGATACCACAGGGGAGTGACTGCCTGAACACATGGGAAGAAGGTGGTCATCTCCAAGCCGAGAGGATATCTGAAAAGGAATCAACTCCATCAACAGTTTGATCTTGGACTTCCAGCCTCTAGAACTCTGAAAACTTAAATTCTTATCAGTTAAGCTAGCCAGACAATGGTTATTTTGTTATGGCAGCTCTAAAAAAAAAAAAAGTAAATGTGGTAATGTAGAAACTGACAAATGGTGTACTGTAGCTGCCCCCAAATGACTCCTTCCTCATTTGCACTAATAGAAGAGATAAGTAGATAGACAGACAGACAGACAGACAGACAGACAGAGATGACAGGGAGAGCCAGTCCTGTCCCCAAACTGGTCAGAACTCAGAGTAAACAGAGTATCTCTTTCTGAAACAAACTGAGTGTTAGGAATGGTGGGTCCTAAGGAGTCCAGTTACAGCCAGAGAAAGACTACAGGCTGGTGGGAATTGTTAAGCTGAAGGAAGTGACTTTTAATAACATAGAGAAGGGAAGATTCAAAGGAACAAAAAGCCATATTCAAATGAATGAAATACTGTCTTAAATAGGAATTTGGTTTAGCTGTGGAGACCAGAGGGGACATCTAGAAATAGTGGCTAAAAGTAGTGGGAGGGTAGAATTCAGTTCCATATACTGAAGGCTTTTCTAAGAGTGCTGTCAGCAAATATAACAGGCTTCCTCCACAAGTATTGCATGAGGCTGATGACCACTGTTTAGAAATGTCAGAGATGGGACTAAGCATAGATTTTATGCTTGGATCCAGGGAATTTAGGTGTTCTTTTGGTCCTAATGCTTTCCATATAAATAGATTGTGCTCCAGCTGAAGAACAGATTTCAGTCACACTTAAGATAAATTTCTTTTACTTGGTGTGATGGCACTCTTATAATTCTAGCTATTCAGGAGGCAGAGGAAGGAGAATTGTAAACTCAAGGTCTGCCAGGGCTATATACTGAGTTTGAAGCTAGCACAGACACTTTGGAAAGGCTTGTCTTAAAATTAAAAATAAATAAATAAAACTGGTTGGGGATAGTGGTAGAGCGCTTGCCTTGAGCTGAAGAGCTGAGGGACACTGCCCAGGCCCAGAGTTCAAGCCCCACAACAGACAAAAAAAAAAAAAAGTTTTCTTTGTTATGTACTTGGATTGCTTTTTAAGTTTAAGACTCCATCTGAATCAATGGCTGGGCATGGGTGATTTGTGCTTGTTTTCCTAAGTGGCATGGGACACAAAGGTTGGTTTAAGTGGCATGAGCTTGTCATCCCAGGGAGAGGTGGAGGTGGGGGGCAAAAATAGCAATATCACACTAATAGCCAGCCCCAAAAGTGTCTTGCAAAGTGGCTTAAGTAGTAGAATACCTGGTTAAAGTCCCGAATTCAAATCCTTGTACTACATAAAACAAAGAACAACCTATGCCAACAAGATCACCTTTGTCCTTATTCATTTTTTATATTGCTCACATTAGATATTTTCTGAAAGTATTTCTAATAAATGGAAACATTTAGTTTAAAAAAAAAACTGGTTGGGGATATAGCTCAGGAATAGCCTGAGGATGTACAAGGGCCCTAAGTTTAATCTCTAGTAATTCTCTCTCTCCCTCTCTCTCCCTCCCTCTCTCTCTTTCTCTTTCTCTCTGCTCCCTTTTGATTTTGCATAAGCACACATATACAGTCAATAACTAGCTTTCAGCTTCGTGATTTGGTAGAATATTTACCGAAAAAAAGGTAATAAATATTCAATCTGTAGAGGAATGGGACTTTGGGAATATGGGAAAATGTCCAACTAGGACTTTGGAGTCCCAGCGAGACACTTAGTAGGAATGTACTTATGTTAACTAATATCTTCAACTTATTCTGTATAAGGCTGCCAGCTCAGTTTTACAAATCAAAAGAAAAAAATCCTGAGCTTGATTTATCTACTAAATTCAAGCTAATCTATCCTGCAAGAATTTGTTAAAATTACTCCCGGTAAGAGTCGACACAGTAAAAGCTGTAATTTCAGTATGTAAGATTTTGGGAAAGTCGATAGAAGGACGGGATGATTTGGTAGCTCTATCAGAAATACGGTTTTCATATCCACAAATTGCTACAGAATAATGGAGTGCCACTGTTTCTAAAGTACTGCCTGCCGGCACCACCTCATTAACTCACACCCCTTAATCACCGTGGCTGGAACGTGGGCCCTCTGAACCTAGCCCGCAGAAGGAGGCCTATCTCTGCAGAACTGTGGGTGGTCAGGTGGGGAAAGAGCCTTGCCGGCTGTCAGGCTGAGCTCAGTTGCCAGAAAGGGCCATAGCCACCTGGGAATTCTCTCCCCTGGGAGCTGGGAGGACAAATATACCTGACTCTCTTGGGTTCCTGTCCACTGCTCTAGAATTCTCCCATCCTCCTCCCCACTGCCTCCCCTCCCCCATCAGCCCTCCTAGGTAGCACGGTCTGCAACCCCCTGTCTGGGGAACGCCTCTCAAGGCTTGGACTGGCCCAGGCATCTCTTAGGCCTGCCAAGAGAGCTAGTTCCATATGCCTGCATTTGGCAATGGGAAAATACCAAGGGGGTCAGACTCTCAGCCTCCTTTAGATGGTCTTTTCAGCTTGGAAGAGACTAGCAGAGCCTCTGCAGACATAGATGGCGCGCGCGCTAGAGAGAGACAGAGACTGACAGACAGACCGACGCGGGGTGGGGGCAGATTGTAGCACAGCAAAAGAGGATCTGGCAATTTATGTCCCCAGCTTGGTCCCACCCAAGTTAACCCAGCCTGACAGTGGTAAGCATCCTGGGGTGAGGACCTCAGGGCAGGGATCCAGAACCCCATGGTGTGCACCGTATCCGGCTTTGTATTCACTCTCCCGCGTTGCTCAGCCCCGCGCACTGGGGGGCACCAGAGGCCACTCCGAGGCCACAGCTGGCAGCTAGGCCAGCGTGCAATGGAGGCTGGGAGCTGCACTCAGCATCTGCAGGCCTAAGTGTATGCGTGTGTATGTGTGTGTGTGTTCACGCGCGCGCGTGTGCGTGTGGTGTGCTGCCGCCAGGCGACTTGCGCCCCGACAGGTGCAAGCGCGCCGGCTTCCCATTGGTCGCGGCGGCAGCCGCGGCAGCGGAGGCGGGCCCCCGTCCCACTCCCCGCCCTCACCGATCCGTCCCCCCCTCCCCTCGCCCTCCCGGGGCGCAGCTCCCGCAAGATCGGTGGAGGCGCGTGCCGGCCTCTGCGCGCTCCCTCGTTTGTTCCCTCCCCCTTTCCGCGCCGCCGCGCGCGCGCGCCCAAGAATCCAGGTAGCGGGCGCGCGGGCGCCTCCCCGGGGGCGCGCGGCCGGGACGCCGTCCTCTCTCCCTCCTCTCCCCTCCCCTCCATCCCTCCGCTCCCTGCACCCCTGCTCCCGCTCGAGGGAGCCTGGGGAGGGAGCGCGCGGCGGGCGGGGGCAGCTGGAGCCGGGCGCCGCGGCCGCCGCCGAGGCTTCTGTCTCGCTCGCTCGCTCGCTCGGTCGCTCGGTCGCTGGCTCGCGCAGCGGCGGCGGCGGCGGCGGCGGCGGCAGAGGTCGCGCACAGATGCGGGTTAGCCCGGCGGGGGGAGGAGGCGGAGGAGGGAAGGGAGCTGCATGCATGAGACCCACAGGTAAGATCGAGAGCGCGGGGGGAAAGGGGCTTTCCACCCCGGGGAGGTGCGCGCAGGCCGGGCAGGGGCGCCGGGGGTCGGGGTGGGGGGGGGGAGTTGGCGCCTGCTTTTGCTCCCTCCCCCTCTCCCAGCGATCAATTTTTTTAATTAAAAAAAAAAATCATTTCCGAGCGCAGAGAAATTTCATTGGGGACTGGGGCAATAAGACCCTCCCGATCTCAGCGAAACCAGAGAAGTAGCTGGAGGGAACCGGTGCCCACACCGAGAGAGATTCCTCAGGAGTGAAATGTCTAGGCCCAGGGAAAAGTGTTCTCCCAGCCCCGAGGTGCTGGAAGGCTTTTAGACTTTGCAATCGTGGTCACTACCGGCGAATCCCGGGGACGGGCGCAGAGCCCTTGTGCGCTAACCCCTGCCCTCCCTCCCCTCCTCCACCTCTGCCGCACGCGCAGCATCCCACGGTGGCGGGTACTCCGTGTGCCCCGTGCGGGAGGTGGCGGGGTGGGATGGAGGGGGGGATCTCGCCGTGGGAAAGGGGGCGGGGGCCGCGCTGGGGAGAACCAGGATGGAGTCCTCGAAGCCGTGGCATGGGGTCCCCGGGCAGAGGAGGGAGAGCGTGGCCCCTGATACCCAGGGTAACCGGGTATGTCGTGTTCTGTTTCCTCCTGGTTGCAGACTCTTGCAAGCTGGATGCCCTCTGTGGATGAAAGATGTATCATGGAATGAACCCGAGCAATGGAGATGGATTTTTAGAGCAGCAGCAGCAGCAGCAGCAGCCTCAGTCCCCCCAGAGACTCTTGGCCGTGATCCTGTGGTTTCAGCTCGCGCTGTGCTTCGGCCCTGCACAGCTCACGGGTGGTGAGTGGCCCCGCTTTGGTGGAGGGCCCAGGATGGCCCAGCAGGGAGAGGAGTCTTAGCTACCAGGACGGCCCTACACCAGTCCCCCCACCACTATAAGTCCAGAGCGTAGGGGTGCCTGAGAACCTGAGAATCACAGTGTCCCAGCCTTCTTCAAAACCTCTGGAGTTGCCAGAAAATTCTTCTCTGGACCCTGCACAGGTTAACACATCTACCTTGCCCCAGGCACCCCACTAGTAGCCCAGGATGCCTTCTCTGAAGGAAGGACAAAATAAAGCCATCTTCACGTTGGCAGACAGTGAGGAGAGGGAAAGGGGGAAGAGAGGGGAAAGAGAGGAAGAGAGAGGGAGAGAGAAAAAGAGAAAGTTTGCGAATTATCCATGAATGTGAAGGTTTCAAAGCATGGCCAGACTGGCAGAAGAAGGGTTCATTTTAAAGTTAACTTTCTCTTTCTTGGAGGTTGTGTGTTCATGTCTGAGCTTGTTGGGGGTAAGGAGAGAGGTTTTCCTTCAGGTGTGTTTCTGGAAGATGTCTTAGCTCACTGGGGTCTGACTTACAGAGGGTGGGGGTGGGAGAATCAAATCAAGTACTTTTTTATAAAGTGGAAGTTAGCTGAAATAAAATTGATAGTCTGTCGGTGGCTAATCTATAATACTTGACTGTGAAGGAGAGAGTTATCTTTTGGTTATGTTGAAGATTGGTGGAGTTCCTGTCTGAATGTCTTGACAAGGCTGTCCTTAATTCCTGCCCATTCCAAATTGTCTTTGAGAGCTTGTTGATGTGAACTAAAGAGTTAAGAGACAACATTGTGTTCCCAGCGCTGAAATACTGTTAGGATACAAACTATCATTCATTGAGAATAAACATTGCTTGGTATAAATAAACCATTTTTGTGTTTGAAAATATTCTGTTTGGGAGATTCTGAAGTCAAAGATGGAAAAAAAAAAGAGTGAATGATTAGAAAAAGTGGAGGGAAGAGAATAACAAGTTAGGCCTTAACTACAGTAATCAATAACTCAGGCATTCTGCTTAGACATCTGAAAGATGCCTAGGGCATGAAAGTGTTGGTTGTGATGTGCAAATCTGTTAGAAATAGGGAGAAAACACTCACTTTGGGTGAGGAGACAGGGTTTTCTGTTTGTTTGCTTAGCAAAGTAACTTTCTGGTGCTTTATTTATTTTTTTAAATAAGAATATCTCTGAGGCAGGTATCTTTTTATAGAGAACAAGGTCAAATGGGAGGCCTGGCCAGCATCTGCGTGGCCTATCAGAGACTCTATGCCTCCTCCGGTATTAAGTTTCTCCAGCAAGTGAGCATCCATGGGCAGTATAGTGAGCAGCAGGCCTCTTCCTCCCCTTTTCTCATACCTTTTAGTTCTTGTTCCCTTTCCCTCCAATCAGATCCATAAGATTTTCCATATTCCTGGTCCTTGTCTCTCATGTAGATGCCAGATGGGTTAATCTGAGTTCATCTATATGTCTGGACTGTTCTTAGATGTATGATATCTGAGCAAAGCCTGAATTTAAAGGCTCTGGTCTTGTATCTGCCTGTTTGTACTTTCAAAGCTTCCTCATACTCAGTATGTCCTCTTGGACTCACCTGTCTTTTGTGAAGTCCATACATTGTGTCATTTTCCATCCCTTCACTGAGGAAAATACGCCAAGCAAAATGATCCAGAGTCTCAGCAAAGAGGGTAGGAAAATGAGCTGCCTCACTTCCAGTGTTTTCCTTTTAGCTATCTAGACATGGCAGAAAGGCTAGTCATCAGCTTTGTTTGCTTCACCTTGAACTCTCTGGGCCGACACTGATTTCTAGAATATTTACCATTTCAGATTTCCTCTGTGAGTAAGCAGTGGAGAGTGATGGGAGACATCCTATGGAATTCACTAAACAGAGATTTTTCTCTTTCTTTCTTTTTTTCTTTTTTGAGAAGAAACACACATGGGGGGGGGGGTCCAGGATGACAGTACAAGTAAATGCATTTTAATTCTAATCTGTGCTGAGTTGGTGGTGTGGCTCAAGTGGAGGAGCACCTGGTTAGCAAGCACAAGGTCTTGAGTTCAAACCCCAGTACTGACATACACAGACATACATAGCCCCCCCTCTCCCCCAGTTACATCTGTGCTCCTAAAACTTTACTTTGCATCTAAATTACTGACATCTTTGTGAAAAGGCAGAGTCTGACCCAATTGGTTTGGGGATGGAGCCCGTGAGTCTGCATTTCTAATAAGCTCCCAGGTGAAGCACTTGTTTCTGGTGCGAAGATCACACTTCAATTAGCAGTGCTTGAAACTAAGGCATTCCTTACAGTAAGTTGCTGCTGGCTGCAGGCTTTCTGGCATCACTTTCAATTGCCAAATGCAAATGGTCTGCTAGGAGGTAGAAGTCTCACCTAGCATCTACCTGTAGGTGATACATAGCTGAAAATCAGCCTTTTCTTTTTTTTTTTTCAAATGCACAAGAAGGTGCATTTTTAATAGACACTGTTCTGAAATGTGGATTTTCATTTTTGATTGCTTTCAATGGGAAAGAAGCACCACAATAGAAAGACATAATAGTCTCAGCTAGGAGGAAAAAAGCTTATGCCCAACACAAGTATTACAGAAAAAGCCTGGACTAGAAAGAGAGAAATAGAGAAAATGATCAGACAAAGGAAAAGCGGGGAAAGAGCTCTCATCAAAACCAAAACATTTTGTTCTAGAAAGCCAGAGATCTAATTCAATTCATTGAGCCCTAGGAGAGCCTTCATAAGTCCCTTTTGGGTGACTCTCTTCAGGTTATCTTTTGTAAATGAGGAAGAAGGGTCCTCGTCTGGGGCTATTAAAATTCCATTTTAATAAATAAATCTGGTGTTGATACCAGATTTATACCAGGACAGAGCTTGTTGTTCCCAGAATCCACATGGAGCCTGATTTGGGCTGCTCTTCTTCCTTTGTCCCCTTCACTTTTGCAGAAGCCTGCTAGGTTTTGAGGGATTCCCAGAGCCCTCTCAGCCCTTTCTCTGAGCCCAGGCTCAGAGGAAGAGAGCCAGGAATTTGCTCTACAGGTTGTTCTTTGAAGATGAATTCCTGTATTATTATGAGCTCAGCGGGCTTTGCCACTTAATGCCTTTGGGGTCTTTGGCCTTGAGAGTGTGTTTCTTCATCTGTAAAATGAAGATGATGATGCTTAACTGATGGGGTTGGTGTGAGGGATGGAAAACACATAGGCATTCAGTAAAAAATTCAGCTAGAAGCAGGGAATAAGGGACCAAGACAATGTTCTAATCCATGAGGCCTTTGCTTTTATTCACTTAGTAAGCATTGGACTGTAGTATGTATGCAGTGTTCTCTTTGCCTGGTAGAATCTTCCTTCACTTTCCAGTTTTCACCCAAGGGACCCGTTCCCAACTCAAATGCCATGCTATATTTCATGTTTCCCTGGTCAGCCAATTCTCCCCTCACCTGGACACTGATTGCTCTTGGGTACAGCTTTCTGAGTACTGCAAACCCTCTGGGGAAAAGAGCTTCTGGACATGTTCATTTTTGTGTCCCGGTACCCAGTATAGCCTCTAACACATAGTTAGTGCTGTAGCTAATGTTAATTGAAAGCAAGCAAAAGAAAAGGACCCCGCATTACTGCCGCACCATTTAGAAAATAATCACTACTATTGAGTTACAGAAATTCAAACTTTCATTACAGTTGAGGCCACATCCAGTTTGATTGTCTATGATGATGGAGGAAAATCAGGAAAGGCTCCAGAGAAGGAGTCGGGTGGGGATGGGTGAGGCACCTCAGAAGCAGAGACACCTTGTGCAAAGGTGTAAGGGTGGTTATGGGATGGGACTGTTCAAGGAGCAGAAAATAGTCCCAATGCTCTAGAGTATAGTGTACTTGGAGGTAACCAGTGGGATAGAGGAACAAATAGGTCTGTGTCTTATTGTAAGTATTCTAGAAGCTCCAGTAAGGACCCTGAATGTCACACAGCATGCAGTCAGATCTTCTGAAGAGTTTAGAGCAGGAACTTAATATCCAGGCACTGTACATAGCTTCTTTCTCTGCTTACAAGTCTGGCTCTGGTCAGTCTCTCAGTCTAGTCTGCCGTCTCTGCACACCGTCACAGTTCGAATGTGGCTGAATCAAGTCCTTTGAGGCCTCCTTTGGGTCATGGAGCTGCAGCATCAAGCTGTGTGCCAGTAGGTAGGAATGGATTCTTTTGGAGTTATGGGCTGCTTTGTTAGATGCTAGTGTCTTAAAGAAAGAAAGAAAAAGTCTTAATGTCATACAGGGTTACATGTAAAATCCATAATTTCAGATTGCATATTACTCATTCTGCAAACAGGGTTCCAACTCTTGAGGGTTCTCATTTTTTTTCAGCAAAGCCTGCCTTAACATAAGGAGGTTGGAAACTCTTTTGATTTATCCACAGGGTGAAATTTGAAAGCTTTTGGGGGCAGAAGGATTTCATATAACAAGTAACGAGTCTCTCATCTCAGAGGCCTGAAGAGGCAAGTCAGAGACAATCAGTGGCTCTTTAATTCCTAAGTAATAATGAGTGTAGGTGAAGATCTCTCTCCAGGAAATATTGATTAGAAATGTGAAGAAAAGCACCTACTCTATTTGTGCTTGGTGAGTCGTTATCTCCAAAGCCCTCAAAAGGCCAAGGAGACCTGCCCTTTGTGGAAAGTTCTGGTACAGAACAAGAGCTTTGCATTCCTAATAGGACTGATAGAGTTCAAGTTCAGCCTCTGCCATTGATTGGCTATAAAGCTTAGGCAGTCTGCAGCACTTCTCTGTGACTCAGTTTCACTAACTTGACTCATATCACTAATATTCTTTGGTGTCAGAGTTTACAATAGTTCCTTCTTATCATTTTCCCCAGTTGCACTTACCACAGTTTCAGTTATCCGCTGTTATTGTGGTTGGAAAATAGGAGATTGGAAAATTCTACAAAGAGGTAATTCCTAAGCTTTAGATGGTGTGCTGTTCTGAGGTGCACAATGAACTCTTAAGAGCCCTGA